TAGTAAGGGCCTAAATTTAATTCAGGTAACAGGTCGACCAAAATATAAGTTATTGGGAGGTTTTGTTAAACAGGTAATTACACGTGGATATCTTTCTATGCTTCGGGTGTATGCTAGTTGTTCCAGTATACGGTTTTCCTTTATGAGTCGTATGTTGATTTCTCTATCACTTTTTCCATCTTTAGTGAATCAGATTGGCATCTGTGCAGTGAACTGAGAAATGTGTGTGAATAATTAACCTTTCTGTGATTGCATAAATTTACATGTAAAATCATTTGGTTTCATTTTGTATCGTGTGGCTAGGTACACAATAAATTTATTATAGTGATGTTTTGGACAAGTAGGTTGTATTCTGGGGAGAAAAAAAAAGGGGGAGGGGTGGCAAAAAACTAGATACGGTGGTTTCAGAGATAATGTGAATGAAAAGACAATTAAACCTTTACAACCAGGGTAGAAAAGAATCGACTGAGTGAGGTGAAGTGAAGTGAAAAGAGACTTAAACGTTTTCACAGTGTACATTTGAACTAATAAGACTCAAACAATACTGTATTGCCCCAGTTCGCTGACGAGTACGCTATCAACAGTTATCGCTGAGTTTTGTGCAGACACAAAGAAATGGTTGCAAACTTGTCTCCACCCTGGTAAAACAGGAAATTACACTTGAGTGCCGTGGACTGTTAAATGTGTTGTTGAAAATATGTTTTTCCTTCATCTTAATTAACTATTAACTATTTAACCTGGGCGAGATACGGCGAAGTATGCCAGGCTGTAAATTGTGCAATCTGACGTTTGTGTCGTTTTTGATTGAAAGGAAAATGCTTGGGTGGAGGAGGTAAAGACAGGTTATTTATTTAGTCCTTATTAAAAATACACTAGACGTTTAAAAACCGAGATTCAGAGGTCTCCTTCCGGTGATTGAAAAAAAGCTGTCTTCGGGCCCTTGCTTTTTCAAAACATACGGTCTAATAATTTTAGCCGTCAAAAGAAATATTTACCATTCTTCTTCTGTTAAATTACATCTTTGAGGCCTCGAGAAATAGCTTGGCTTGTTTACAAATGTCCAGGATTCACAGGAATATGTTAAAATACAACTATCACGTAATTTTTTTTTAAAGTGTAGCTTTGATCGCATAAGCGGCGTCCGTGGCTTAGGCGTTGCGAGTCTGACTAGTAATACCAACGAATCGCGATCGAAACCTATTGCTGGCTGCGTGGATTTTTATCACAGTATGGGGCGTTGCAGTTCGACCCAGCCTAAAATGGGTACCAGGATGGGCTGTCCTGGTGAAGTAAAGACGACCCGGGTAATGCTGACCATATTACCCACCTAGTGCTGATGTTCTGTAACAATATGGGCGCTCTTCCCATATACCCGATACGCCTAAGGCACTAAAATTGATCTTTACTTTACTATATTTTTTTTTGGTCGCACAATAATACAATAATACATTAAACAAGGAAAACACTGTTGACTGTACGCAGAAACAATGCTATAAATGCGAAACTTACATTTTGCACAGCTCTGTTTCCGTCAGTTCCAGGCACTCTCTGTACCATGAATGGGCGCAGCACAGAGGTCTTGAAGTTATCCATATCTGACAGATCCTGACTCCAAAATCTGAGGACTGGCTCACTGGCAGTCCATTGTAAGTTACGCTGGACTGTCTTGTTGCAATATAAACAAGAAAGGTCATAAACTCATCATTATTAATTGAGAGAAACAGAGGCAGAGAGAGAAGAGAACTTTTGGTGCAAAAACGTTAACAGACTCCATTTAATAGACTAACCGGCACTCAGTAGAGGGTGTGGTTAATACCACTTCGGTTGACTTTACTACTACCCAACAAATTTCATGGTTCGCATTTTAGACTGGGTAGACATAGGAGCCAATACAAAACTCTTGGAAAAATCTCCCCTTTTCGGACTCCACCTAAACCTGCGGATTACTGATTTAGGAATCGACATTACAGCACACCGGGCATACCCATAGATGCTCCGTATCCCGCAGCAAATGACGTAAGGTGTAAATCTGGGCTATTCAACAAAGTTAACTCAGGGGCGAAGATTTTCAAAATGTGGATCGTCACCGGCCAGAGGCTAGAGTTCGTATATAGAAAGATCATTGTCACAATGCAACTGGCAATGATCAGGGAGCCACTTATTAAGCTTCCGCGGGTCATTTTTGGCCCGCTGGCCCCCCAGGTGAATAGCCCTGGTGTAGATGCTAACTATTCCCGTAGCACACTGATTATACACACGCCGATCTCTTCCTCTCATCCGTGCCTCCTTGCCGGATCCACACTTAATTTCTCGTTCACACATTCTTGCCCATGTTATTTTATCTAATCTCGTGTCTTCTGCCAATAGTCGTTCATATAAGGTCTTTAGAACTTCTCCCTTGTCCAGTACTAGTGTTCCCGTAGCTTTTGCTTTTCTAGCCAAAAAATCCACTCTTTCAACCCCTCGCACTCCTGCATGTCTCGGAAAGTATACACACTTCATTCCCGGCAAAAGTTGGCGTACTGATGCATGGTATCCTATCATGCCACATTAGTCCATTTTGAACCTTTCGCATTGCCGACTGAGAATAGACACAATAAAGGTAAAGCACAATAATTCCTCTGGTAACTTTGTTTTCTGCTGTCTAATTCAGATCTGCAGTGATTGCCATCACTTCCATTCTCATGCTTGAAGTTGTAGATACAAAAGCACTCTTTTTTTTTTGTTCTGCCACAAACTGAGTTGTCTCGTGTGCAACCAAAGACGATTCTCATTCCTTTATTTTGAATCCTGTCAAGTTTTGTACACTGTGAAGTAGATAGAGTTAACATTCCTATCCCATAATCAATTACAGAAAGGACCAAATGGTTGAACAATAAGACAAAAAATCTCTGTTCCGTGGGTGTCGCCACCATCGTCTTCTTCTTCTCCTCCTCCACATTCCCATCGACTTCTTATTCCCTCTGTCTCAAATACATATATGAGTAAATTGTTTAGAATAATTAGAAGGATTTCATTGTAAATATTATGAGGAAAAATATCTAGGAAAACAGTTACAATTGGCACATGGGAAAGGCAACCAGCAAGAGAAATGACAAGTGATATGCTTCTAGATGGCTTGGTCACGTGGCTTAGGTGCGACACATATAGGATCCGTAACTGGTGATCCTCTGGGATGGCCAACAAAGACATTTGACCCTTATCACACATGATGAAGATAACTGTGTCTACTTTGTTCAACCTCGGGGTCTCCGTCCGACGCCCTCCCCCCCCCCCCCTCTCTCTCTCCTCCGCCATGAAGGTGGGTCATGATGAGAAGACACCGAAACGGGACGTACGGTCACCATACATCTACACTTTAATACATTTGCTTCGGGAGACAGGGCTTCAGTCGATTTGCTTGGTGTCCAATTATGTCGAATCTTGCATTAACTCTTTGAGTCCCAGGGCATCAGATACCCAAATGGTAGTCAAGAGAGACGTAAAATCAGCTCATCGTGCGTTCATTGGACTTCTAGGTAGGAATCTGTGAACGTATGATGCCTTCCTTGGGACTCAAAGAGTTAATAATCGGTACTTCATTTTTATTGTTGTTGTTCGTCCATCACGAGTGATGAAGACCACTTTCAACCCAAAGTAGTAATGATTAATGATTATGTGTACGAAGGTGTTTTATTAGTCCCTCACTCTCTGAGCCTGTGTCCATCTTGATCAATGGGAGGACAGTGCAGATCATTAGATTTTACTGATGGTGACTAGTTCCCTCATCAAATGTTTGTTTCATAGCACAGTATGCAGAGAAAATACCAACTGCCCTCTACCAGTCATGTCGTAAAACACAAATTTCTCGGGTGTATTGGCCCAAAGACTAGATTTTCAAAGAAACTAAAATTATTGCACCCATAACGACTTGAACATTCGGTGCTTAAATAATATACTACACCAAACAGGGAAATCCACAGGTCACGGGACTGTCTAAAATTTAAGGGGGTGGTAGATAGGGTACATGCAATCGTAGGGCCTAGGCTGCATGCAGTCATGTGACCTAGGCAACACTTTCTCGTGGGAACTAGATGGGTTCGGGTTTGGGCCAGTTCTAGATGTTTTGGGGTCATTAAAAGCATCAGAAAGCCGGAAAACCCAGTCTTATCACCCTCTAAAATGTTGGACGGTCCTGTGACGTTATCAGGGGTAGAATATAATTAATGAACCTAGCCATTTTTATCTGTACGACAATCGTAAATTTACTAACAGGGCTTTTATTTCCCCTGTGATCACGTTCCAGGTGAGGAAAACCTTCCCCCAAGTTAGTTCAGATCATGAATACAGAGGTCAGGGAATATAACCACATGTTGTAGTTTATATACAGATCCATATCATGAATAACGAGCTGCCTGTTTGAACAATGATAGACTATAATATTTTCGTTTGTCCGTTCCAGTGGAAAGGGTCCAAGATTAATCAGCTAAGTGCCGTCTCCGCACTGAAACGTTAGCTACAACAAACCCCTAATATAACCCACCACTCTTTTTCTCATTTTGGTAGGGCACTGTTAGGCGGCTTTTTATTCGTCTCTGGTTGTTATCTCACACTTGCGTCTTAGTCGAGGTTTCAAATTCACTACAATCGCCACACACACACACACACTGAGAGAGAGAGAGAGAGAGAGAGAGAGAGAGAGAGAGAGAGAGAGAGAGAGAGAGAGAGAGAGAGAGAGAGGTGGGGGGGGGGGGGGGCGGAGAGTTAAACCTCACAAACACGATCTCGCTTAACACGATTTCAGATCCCAGCTGTGCTGTATTATACATAATACATGTATTCGTTTTTAGGATAGCTGGAATTTCATTTTAACAAAATCTTTGGATTTTTTCTTCAGGTCTTCAATATTTTATAAAGAGGCTAAGCGGCTTGTCTTATCCATGTAAAGAGGCTAAGCGGCTTGCCTTATCCATTTAAAGAGGCTAAGCGGCTTGCCTTATCCATGTAAAGAGGCTAAGCGGCTTGCCTTACCCATGTAAAGAGGCTAAGCGGCTTGCCTTATCAATTTAAAGAGGCTAAGCGGCTTGCCTTATCCATGTAAAGAGGCTAAGCGGCTTGCCTTATCCATGTAAAGAGGCTAAGCGGCTTGCCTTATCCATTTAAAGAGGCTAAGCGACTTGCCTTATCCATGTAAAGAGGCTAAGCGGCTTGCCTTATCCATGTAAAGAGGCTAAGCGGCTTGCCTTATCCACGAAAAGAGATTCTCTAGAAGTGAATTTGTTTATACATCTCATATTAACTCTTCTGTGTGTGGGTTCTGAGTATTGTTTATGGATGCCGAGAACAGACCTACTGCCATCTACGAATCATGTAGTAAAAGGCGACAAATAAGGAGCTTACTGGAATGGGATGTGTTGAGTATAAATGCCTAGTTATTACAGCCTATTTGTAAATCATAACACAATGTACCAACCGATCTTTTAAGGGCAAACTGAAATTTTTTTGGTATACATCATTCAGCACATATTATTATTATTATTACTTTGCTCTTAAACTAGGATTAAAGGCTCTCCGACTTGAAACTATGTAAGAATAGGAGAAGTTCTCTCCCCCCCCCCCCCCCCCAATTTTTTTTTCTTCTTGAGTCGGCATTATTGGTGACAAGAAAGATAATAATGAGAGCAGCAGATATGAAACATGCATGCACGGTATATTTTAAATGGGAGCGGGTTAAAATACAAACGACAGTAACAAGAGCACATAACCGATCTATGCAACAAATCAAAGGACAATCAGTACAATTAGTTGCAAACGACATGTACAATAGCTGGGAACTTTAATTCGGCTTATATTAAATTTAACAATAAACTTGTCTTCACCTCGTTCTATGCCAGGTAATTCGTCACAGGAATCATCTGTGTGTTTAATATTATTTTAACTGTCTTTGATGTATCGATCAGTTTGTCCGCTCCAATGTGTCTATCAGTTTTTCCCTCCCGGCTGCTACTTAAAATATTTATCATAACATCCTATGATTTAAAAACCTCTAACGTGACCACAGACCAACAAGGCAAATCCCAAATACCCAATTCAACCTCCTAAGAAATTATAATTAGGGCATCCATGACGGCAGCATTAGCCAGATTTACCCTGCAATCCTATTCAGTAAAGACAATTTCGGTCACACACAGAGCTATGCAAAGGATAATTTAAAAATAAAGTTACTTGCCCCTATGGCTCCCCTGTTTAGAACTGACTGGCGCAGAGTGTACTGCAAACCGAGAATTTAGAGCTGTGTAGCTAGTACAGTCGCCACAAACTGTGCAAGTTATGACTGTTTTCCTTTCAAAAGAAAAATGTCCATGACCCTATCGAGACATCAAACATGAGTCTCCAGAACCACTATCAGCATTCTAACAATCTCAACCTGACATTTACTTTCTTTGTGTATAAAATAATTCAATTGGGTCGAAATTTTTTAAAATTTAGTTGGCCAACTAGAATGCGAGTTAAAGTAGTTAGAACTCACCTGTGTTTGTTTGGTCGCTATTGCCAAACTGGCCAGGCACAAAACAACAGCTGTAGACCTCATGTTGAACTTGTCAGCTTTAGTTATGTCCGCGCAAAAGGATTTCTTTTATTTATATATTGCTGTTTCCAACTGCATGACTTAAAATAGCAGTGACCTCCCTTCGTGTATCACATATTGGGTTGCAATAAAACAGACCCCTTGGTAGATGAGGTAACAATAATTAGTTATGTATGTTATATTTCCTCATTTAAAAAAAAGTGGGGATACAAAGGTGCCATAATCTAGTGTCTCAGGCCCCGTGAACCTTCCCAAGTATGTAGGCCTCTGGAAGGGGGGGGGGGGGGGGGTATGTTTTCTTTGTATCAGCGCAGATGTGTGGAGGTGCAGTGTTAATAGTGGGAGAGTACCCATGAGTTTCAAAGTAACATGCTCTCAAATGCGGATGGGTATACAGGGTTATTCAAAATAACGGATACACATTCATTCATGTATATTTCCTTAGACATACATACACATTAATAATATACATACAGAGAGAGGTAGAGAGAGAGAGAGAGAGAGAGACAAAGCTCTAAAGTTTACAAATTTACAATAGAGGTTATATGTCAAATATTGCCGCCGTCTGCTGCTTGTCCAACATCAAAGCGGTAACCAAACTCATCCTACACACGAAGAAACATTTCTAGTGTAACTAGAGTTTACTGCAGCTGTGATACGGCACTGAAGGTCGGCCAGAGTTTTTGGTAAAAGTAGGTGGAATTCTAAACTTTAGACATTTCCCTCTCTCCTTTGTATGTATATTATTATTATGGAATTTATTTTTTGGGGAAATTCACATGAATGAAAGTGTATCCATCATTTTGAATAGCCATGAATACTCGAACGTGCCAGTCCCTTTTGTTAAAGACCAATCAATAGCTAGTCTAGGGGAAATTAATATTAAATAGAATACAATCAAGAAAGGCGAAAGACGTCAAAGAAGTATTTGAACTGCTGATATCTACACTTATAGCATGAAGGAAAGGCTTCTTTCACCCGTCATATACGTATAGACATATTTTATAGATTAATTGGTTCTCGTTTGGTGATGTTGTCAACATCACACTGGCCGATTTTACTTCCTAGGACTTTAGCTGGTACCTGTTTAATCTGGAAGTCAAGGTCATTAAAAAAAAGTATAGCACTGTTCTGATTTGAACCCACGACCTTTGGGTTCACAGGCGAGCCTCTAGCTATTACACAAAGACGGTTTCCTTATAGCATAAAATCAATGGCGATATGATCAGCACCATTTATTTGGCTAACTTTTTTCTCAGTACCAGGCGACTTACAATATGTTAATTGACAGCTCTTTAAGAGTTACACACGGAAGCTGCATGGTCTCGAGTGGTGCCAGCAGCAGTTTGATAATTTGTCCGCCTTGCCTTTCCTCTGGGTGTAGAGTATCAGCCCCGTCTCCTGGACACTTTTAGCTGCACCATTCACTCTAGACTTTAATGATCTGTTCGTGCTTCGGCATTGATACTTGCTCCCATAAGGCGCTCACGACATCCTGCCAAACACATATAAAGTCACCACCCTGTGGTGCAGACCAGCAAGTCTGTCCACCTGATCATTTCCCAACATACAAGTATAACTCGGCGGGATATATCCAAAGGACACTAACTATACGGAACCCACAAAGCGATGCTTGGCACTCTGCACGGATGATGTCTCTCTACCTTTCTCAACATGCTTTGTTAGTCAGTTACAATCACAGCATGCGAGTGAAGCTGGTTCTCAAGCCAACAAGAAGCTGCTGTGACTGCCTCCACCTCCATTCTTAAACTATATGTTGTAGTGTCATATGCTAGGCTTTGCTGTACCAAGCGTTGTCTTTTCGCTGTCACAAGGAAACCCTATGTACTTCTCCTGCCTCTCAACACAGAGCCCATGTGTATAGATAATTAAATCTTATGGGTGGGAATTGTTACGAATCAGTAATTAAACCCCACCCGCCTCCCCTTTTTTCCCAGTATCTTGATCTTGTTAAATTTCTTCAAGACATTATGTCCATGAGGGGCAGGTCGTTGGCCTTAGGCTGGTCACAGTGCACTGATTACACAGACCACATACCTACATCCTTCTTCATCAGTGATTCGAGCCACTTCTCAGAGGGGGTTCACCGCACAATATCTATACTAGGCATTCTATCATTATCAAGTATCCTGCTGTCCACAGTGAATGGATGCGTGTTATAATGAGAAACCACATTAAGGAAATTCTTTTGAAAAGAGATCCGGAAATCAAAATTTGGCAAATGAACTGTGTATTACTAAAATTTTCTGCAAACTTCACAATCCGCAGATGTGGATGTCTTCATTAACAAATCTGACAGCATAGGTTTTATATAGTTTACATTGGAATGCCATTTGTTTCTGTGTACAGTGGCGGTTTAGACGTGTCATTAGGAAAATGATAGGTAGCCAGTTTGAGTTTGCCCTGGCAAAGTGCCTTGTGCAAAAATATTTCTTGTGTATGGCCAGCTTATTGTGACTGACTACTTAAATTGCCTTTCTAGTAACGACTGTTGCTGTTGGCATTGCCAGCAGCTGTCTTATGCACTTACTGCGTGTGCATGTTTATGAAATTTGCCGGGACTCATTTTTGTTGACCAGTTTTCGAATGGTAGTGAGGGGAGATGACATCATGAGGAGAGTCGGCACATAATCAGTTGAAAAATAAAAAAGTAAAGGTCCCTTTCCACGCCTTTAGGCAAATAGGGCATATAGAGCGAGACCCATATTTTTAGAGACTAATCTGCACAAGATGGGTGATGTGGTCAGCATTTCGCTGGCCGCCTTTACTTCCTGGGACTGCACCAGTACCCACTGGGACGACCTGGGAGTAGAGGTCATTTTTTGGTGGGCCAGGAGTCTTAAAAATGTTAAGCACTGATGTAAAAGAGCCTTTTAAACCGTTATAAAAAGCCTTTTTTTCAAGTACCATATATGGTGATAGACTGACTTTCTGTATACTAATCAGCACCAGATGGGCGAGAGGTCAACAACATCCTGATACCTTTACCTTCCAGAATTCCTGGCACCCATTTGAAGCTCCGTCAACTTAAGAGCTCCCATTGATTATAACAGTGTGTCAAAAATTTTGATTCAAACAAAATAGCGTTGGGCAAGCAGACATGTGTCTAGCTCCTGTGACTCCAGCCACACTATGCACATATAGTATGTATAAACCATACAAAATGATTTTAATACACATTCAATGACATGACAAACAATACAGCTGACAATGTGAATGAATAAAGTCAAAAATGATAAAACACAAATGTAAAGTTATGCCATTTATTCTTCTTACTACAAATGTTAGCTTGATAATTCCATGGGTCCAGTTCAACTGTCTGTTGAATGCCATGGACCAAAAGACTGCAGTTCAAGTTGAACTCTGCCTGTAGTTTGTTGTCTCAAGCACCTTTTTCCCACACATGGCGCAAATACCTGCACATAAGATTATAAATTGTTACGCAAACACAAGAATATTTCACAAGAAGCTGCACTAGTGTGGTGTTACTGTCTTGATTAACTGGTGTTATGTGGTATAGAGGATAGTGAATGTGTTTAACAATTTCATGATATTTGAATACTAGAGTTTGATTTCGAGGTAAACGGTCTCTTTGAAAAAGGTAAAAAAAATTCAACTTCTGATGACTTTCAATTAATAGTAAGAGTCGCTGATGAGGTACAAGGTGGAAGAGAGGAAGAAAAAGAAGAAAGAGTCGTGTTGGGGAAGACATTGGGATCTCATCTATAATAAACTCAAAGACAGCAGAGGGTGCAATTATTTTTATTGCAACTTTATTTATAACTTCAGTGAGTATGTTTTCCGATAGTTTTAGGTGACCCCTGTGAAAGGATTGTTCAACTCCAACAGAGGTCGCTACCCAGAGGTTGAGAACCAGTGGTCTAAGGCATGAAAAAGGTGCTCACTTATACAGATTAGAATCTACAAAAAATGCTTCAAAGGCGTGAATGCAAATATATTTTGCTCCTCATTTCTAAAAAACAATGTACCACTTACCCTTTTTGTATGCACAACCTGAAACAAACAAAAAAGACATAAATAAATAAAATAATTCAGCTGAATAATTTATCACAAAATATATCATGTAAAGCCATTAGGCACATATGAAGTTCTATCTTTAGGAGCCTTCATGGGTTTACTTGACATTTTAAATGTTTTCCCCTTAAAGATACCATTAAATAACATGCTTTATCTATATTACTGGGCTTTTTAAAGTCTGAAACATATATAATACAGAGTTCATTTAAAAGGTCTGGTGTTAAATATGTTTTGATTTCTTTCTGCATCAATTTTTAGGACTATGAAAGACATTTTCAACTTTTCAGCCAGTGTTAACCCTGTAACTTGTTCTACAAACATATCACTGACCATTATAGCTGTCTACAGTATTATGTGTCATCATATTCAAAAGGATCCTACCAATGGATTCCATCAGTTAAGAGGAGATGTAAAGTAGTTCGAGGGTAGGTAAGGATCCTTTTCCCCACCTTCGGGCGTATTGGGTATACAAAGCTAGATTACATTTTATAGTCCAATTGCCAGTCTGTGGGTAATGGGGTCAGCATCACGCCGGCCACCTTTACTTCCCAGGACTTTGCCTATTTAAGGCTGGGTTGACCTGGGAAGCATGATAATTATTTAAAAAAAAAGTTCAGCTACATCAGGACCTGAAACCATGATCTTTAGATCCACATGTGATTGTCTAGCTGCAGTGGTTTTTAAAGAAGTTCAAGCACTCTATTAAATCTGCTAGTTGTGTGTTCAGGTGAAGACTGAAAATGTGTTTATCTGCCAATGGAGCACAGTCCCGCAACCAACTCATGGCAAGTTGCAATCTAGTTCCACAAACATACTTTAGCAAATTACTATTACTGCAGCCAAGATCTATGACTTCTTCTTTAGCTGTCTTTTATCTCCGTTTGTATACTTTTTCATGATTGGTTTGATTTTGCAGCTATAATTTTCTAAAGTATGAGGTAACTAGCTCACATCAACCCTTATTCATTACTTCTTTATATTCATTATCTGTGGGTTCTGGAGCCCCACTGTGTGTGTGTGTGTGTGTGTGTGTGTGTGTGTGGGGTAGACCCATATCCACAGCACCTCCCCCCCCTTTCCCCCCAACAAGCACATCACACAAGTTAAGACTAATTAGGGGTGTTTCCTTCAAAGTTGAAGTTCCTTTGCCTGAGAGGTGAGGAACAAACGTTATGCATGCAAATAAGCCAGATTTGTAATACAAAACACAAGTTCTGCAACAACAAGACTAAAGTGGACAAACAACCAGAACTTTCCACTGGAGTTTACAATCAGTGAATGTTAAGAAGAAAAAGAAGATTGATATTAATGATAGGGTGTTCCTGGAATTCCCCAGGAAATAAGACCAAAGTTGAAATAGGCCCGGGTAATATTTCTGAGTATGCTAAATGAACCCTATCCTTTATATATAAACCCTAGTTAAGATTGTCAGCCAGAAAGATGAGAATCAGTTGTCCATTTAAAGCATACGTCAGATGTGTTGAAATATAAAGTAGTTAATGTATAAATAAAAACAAACACTACTACTGATAGTTGAGTTGAGGAAAGTCAGGAATTGACATCACAGCACACCGTGCATTCCCATGTGTGCTCCATCCTCATCTACAGCAGCCAGCCCAGAGTTCCAATACTGATGGTATCAGTCAGAATCTGGTTATATGTCCGTCTTGCCTTTCCTCAGAGTGTAGTGAGCCGGCCAGATCCTCTGGTTACACCCAGGTGCCTCATTCTTTACAGGCCATAATAATGTTTCTCTAATACTGATATTACTGTGACCGGATAAGATCTCATGCGAGAGACCAAGGCTGAAATACTGAGTAAGGCTGAGGGTTTTGTTTTGTGGAATAGAGAAATAAAACCCTTACCTGCACAGTATGTGGTAATGGCACTAGCTATGTAGCTTTAAATGTAGTAGATCTATCCCACTCCCACAGGGGCTCCCCAGAACCCACAGGGGATGCTTCCCTAATACTTCAAGTTCACTTGTTTTAGATTTCTTCTTAGCATTCACCAGCTGTAAACTCTGGTGGAAAGTTGTGGGTAATCATCCACATTTGGGTTTGGTCTTGTTCCAGGAGTTGAGTTTTGCATGCACGCCCAATTTTACAGATCTGGCTTTTTTTATGCAGACTGTAGTTCCTCGCCTCTCAGACAGATGCACTCCAATTATGGAAGAAACACTCCCAACTAACTGTCTTTTATGACAAACTTATTAGGGGCAACAGTGGGTCTATCCCACCCCCCATCCCCAAAAGGGAGGTCTTAAATACTTGTCGTTTACTTGTTTTAGAGGGTGTTCAGTAACTTAGATATTTATTTATCTGCGTTTCTTATAGTAATGAACAGTTTTTTTAGCACTGTTGCTAATACCTTGACAGTAGTGTGACCCAGGCTGATGAACCATGGTCTTGCAGATTCGGCATTTCTCAAAGCTGGTCTGATATGGGTTAAACCTGTTTTCACAAAAACAAAATAAATACTTGAAAGCAAAATACAGACAGCATTCTGTTTTAATATCTAAGTATACAGTATACATATTTCACAAAGATGTGTACTGGAACCCTGAATTTATCGTTTCTCCCACCTCAAGAACAATCAATCATCATAGAAGGACCAGTGAGCTGCTGTGGTATAGCGGCTAGACACTTGCTTGCCAATCGACGGGAAGTAAAGGTGGCCAACATGATGATGATCACATCACTCACCAAGTGCCATTTGATCTATAAACTATATACCTAATACACCTGAAGGCGTGGAGAAATATCAGTTACTTTTTACTTTAGTGAAGGACCAGTAAAATGTATACTGTAACACCAACTGATAGAAATGATTGATAACATTCTGGGTTGTTTTTTTTTTTCAATTTAGTATTAGTCTGTACTATTTTTTCTTATGATTTCATTCCTAACTTTATCTCTTTTGGTCATTCTTGCAATCTTTCTCAAACATCTCTTTTTTTATAGTTACTAATCTTCTAGTCTAATACTATAGTAACAGGACAACAGGATGAACAGAAGTGGCCAACCTAGCAGCTGATACAATGGGAGTTACAACAGACCAATACTTGTCAACATCTGAGAAACAATGCCTATTTCCCAGCAAACTGAGAATACACACAGAAATAATAATACACTTTGCTTGCTGATCGGCCTGAAAGTCTTGGGTTTTAATATGCACATTTTTAAAAAAAATAAATGACCCTAGCTCATTGTTCATTTTAAAGATCATCTACATAGCACATCAGACATGACCATAAGTGCTCCAATCTCATCCTGAGTATGATTCCAAGTGTTTTTAGGCTAACAACGCCCATTCTGTTCTGGATGATGCAACGACAGGTGGCTCCCGCATGGTTTTCCTGTCATGCAGCTCCATTTAGTACACCCAGAGTATGTAGTCTTAATAGTGAATGTAGTCTTAATAGTGAATGTAGTCTTAATAGTGAATGTAGTCTTAATAGTGAATGTAGTCTTAATAGTGAATGTAGTCTTAATAGTACAAATCATTTTCATGAAACTGAAAGCCTCACAACATTTAGTCTCTTGTATGGCAGAGATGATGTCTCTCCTGTCCCTAATGGCCCATTCCTGATAGTCATACTGCCAGCCAGAGCATCTGCTCTCTCGTTTCCTTTTACCCCAACAAAACAGCCTCAACTCTTTTAGTACCAGGAAACTCATAAGAGTGTTAACTGGTTTATGTTTATATTTCTTTCTTTACTTTTCATGCCCCTCTAATCTGTTATATTAACCCTTTCTAACTCAATTATTACTATAATTTCTTCTGTCCCAAAACTGTACTTTTCAATAAGGCTAACAATTGTTGTAGTAAGGTACAACAACTTTAGGACAGCAGTGTTAAATTATGAATCACATGGCACTGAAAAAGTTAAACAGGTATCAGGAAATATCCTGGAAAGTAAAGGTGACTGGCATTATCTAGACCCTATCATCCAGTGAGTGACAATAGGTTTACATAAATATGGGTCTAGCTTCACATGACCAATGCTTTATTCACATGAAAAGGTCTCCTTCACTTTCCTGCTTAATGTTTCTTATGTCCTCTGCCTATCTATGTGCTGGTCAGTCCATGTCCTTCTTGCCCAGAACCATCTACTCAGATACTGTTCTTTTCAATCCACCCTGACATTTGTTTTGGCCAAATTATTTCAGTTTCTGAGACAAGATACTGTTTATCAGCCAATCTTCCTTGAAGTTCAGAATTTACTGTAAATATATGTGCACCATTAGGCAGTAATTGTGACTTGAATTTCCACTCACCTGTTTTTCTTCGCAGTAAGAGCTTTATTTTCCCCAACTTTCCTGCCACCACCTTCTGTAAGTTAAAATATAAAATAATTACTTGCCATTCAATTAACAAAACAAACAATATATATATATATTCTATATATATATATATAACAAATAATAAAAAAAAAAAATATATATATATATATATATATATATATATGCATACACACACACACACACACAGAGTTCCAACTGCTACATTTATGATTCATCTAACAAAGCTTATGTTATCAATGACTTCATAAATGCACAAAAGCAAAAAGACATTATAAGATCATATTAACTGTCACGAAACGATCTCAGTGGTTCCAGAAGTTAGTACTCGTAATAAGTTCTTCTGGTTATTGGTAATACTTTAAAACAAACTGATTTAAATGTTTCCAGACAAAGCGACTGAGTCTTGGGTAATGTTACGCAATTACACCAGGGCTAGAGAATTTCCTTTCACATGCCCATGTCATAAATGTTATCTCCTGACCAGACTGAGTGGGGCTCCTTTGAACGACTAGATCAGGGGAATTAAGTGGACTGGTAGACATTGTGGCGACCAGAGGCCGGAGTTCGCACGTCAGTGTAATTCTCAGGAGAACAGGTGTTTGCCAATTAGGAATGTTTGATCTTGGTCAAGTAGGAAACACAATGGCTTCACTGACCGTCTTTTCACACCTGACAGTTAGATTCGTTGTAAACTAGATTGGGTCACTTAAGAATGTTTGCTCTAGGGATGTCAGTCCAGAATTGACTGACAGGCCACTTGTTAGCTAGGTTGATCTGATAGGTACCTCAGAGGCATGGCTTAAGTCATCGTCTTGAGGGTTGGGTAGAACCAAGTAAAGGGAGGAGTTTAATTTGGACAATAGATTGATAGTATACTTCGAGCCTTTGGAATTCCCGTCATTAATCGCAGCCTGCCGGCAAACAAACACAGGTCGATTTAAAGGTTGTTGTTGTTGTTATCGATCCAGCGGCGCATGAGCTTTCGCCCTTTGGCCCAATGCCATGTAGTGGAATTTGCATGTTTTCACAAGCTGTTCTTTTCCTCCGTACAAGGTGTTCCACTTGTCTGGTCTCGGAGGGAGTAGCGTTCTTCTTGTCTCACTGAGTTTTGGGCACTCAAAGAGATGGTGTTCAACAGTTTCGTAGGGGTAGTTACATAGCTGGCACTCTGGGGAGTGTTGTGGCTGTATTCTGTTTAGGTGTCCATTGAGTGGAGTATGTTGCGTTCTAAGTCTGAAGATGGTGGCCTGGTCCCTTCTTGTTAGATGGTTTAATGCTGTCATTAGGATCAGGGCCAGACATATGTCTATAAACCTCTCTTCCAGTGTCTCCCATGGCCCATCTGTTCAACCAAGTCTCTTTGTTTATAGCTCTTATCAGTGTTTTTTGCTGTCTGGAGGGTTGTCGCTGTAGGTGGTTGTTCTTGTGTTGCTCCTTTCTTTGCCAATCTGTCAGCTCTGTCATTACCTGGTGTGCCGGAGTGACCTGGAATCCACTGCATCACTATTCTGATGTTGTATGAGGTAATAAGCTGATCGGCATCCAGGATTATCTTGGCTATGTCAGTTTTGCAGCGTTCATTGCCCTCCAGAGCTTGAAGGGCAGACATTGAGTCTGTGAAGATGACAATATTTTGGACCTTTGAGGGGTAAACATCCATTACAGTCTTTAGGTGGTATACTGCTGTTTCCAGGTAAATTTACAGTCTGATTCTGGTTTGGCGATTGATGGAATGTTTCCAGGTATGAGTAAATATTAATTTTAATCTTGTATACATAGGTTAAGGAGTTAGCTAAGTCTATACTACCTTTTCCTAATTTGTCTGCACATTCTGCTTGAATTAGTTCTTTGTGAGTATTCAGTATCTCAAGTTAGGGAACTGCTAAACTATTCCTATTTCTTGTATGTTTGTGTCACATGTTTTTCAGCGTATGTTTTCATGTGAATAAAATAAGATGTGAACAATGACATTTGCTATAATGAAATGTAATTATATTGTTTCCACGATCAACCCAAAACATGTACTTGGACTGTGGGAAATCATGCCCATATGCGCAGAGTTTTAATAGCTCACCATGTGCTCACTGGAAAGACAATATTCCAGACACCATGCACATATAACATGGTTGGAGTTTTCAGCACATAACCTGCTCCACGTGGTCATGTAATATCAATGTCAGCCAGTTGGAAGTCTGAGTGAAGACGAACAACAGACTTAGAAAGCCAACTATCAAGACATAGCATGAGAGGGAAGGCAGGATATGTGACGTCCATGTAAGACAAAAGACCTTCAGACTAGACTGGAGAGGATGTGGAATATGAGGAGGAGTGATGGGATATATTTTATTATTATATGCTACAATAATTGATACATGTATTCTTTGTGTAAGTCAAGATACTACACGTTTGTGTTTTGTTTCCATAATTACAACGCCCATGTGACGATCAGTCCATGAAGGAGACTACATTTTGTTAGACTCGGCCAGCTGGGAACGATGTGGAGAACGAGGTGGGGATGAAGTGGAGAATAAGCTGAAACAGGCAGAAAACAGGCAAGGAAGAGTTGGACAAGCTTGACAGTGCCTCACGGCTGTCAGAGGCTTATACGTTAAGTTAACATCTTTTGCGTTAACATATCACCATCATCACACCACTCTAAACCCCGGAGCTGTTTTCTCACTGAAGCTTATCACTATCATCATATTAACCAGTCACTGTTTGTGTAAATCAACAAACTGGGAATTTCATTGTTAGTAAATAAAGCTGTATGTCAAGTTTTATACTACATTGTCTGTTAAATTCCAAGTGTATTCAGTCTTACCTGTTTAACTAAACTGATAGATAGAATTACATTTGGTGGGGGCTCAATTTATATGATAATAATTTTTTAATTATTCATAATAACACCGGGAGAAGGTAGAAGACGGAGGGGTCATTTGCCCTGTCTAATAATTCATTCAATATTATAATGATAGACATCTAAAACCCCTTTCCTTCTCTTGTGGGTACCAAGTTCAGCTAATGTTAATGTACTTAACGAGCCAATATGGCTGTTTTCTTGGGTATCCAGGACTTTGTCTGAGAGCAACATAGCTCAGATTTTAGTTCGGTTAATCTGGTGGAGGGAATGTGTTGAGAGGAACATCCCTACTCAACATTATAAACATTTAATCCACAGCGTCACGTCACATTACCATGTTAATAAGTTTCTCAAATCCTACTAGTTTACAATAACAACACATATAAACTTGTTAAAATTATCTTGGTTAAAAATATTCGGTTAACATAACCAGAAATTTGGCTCCAGCAGGACTTTTTAAAAACTATTTGAGTCTCCAGTTAGAATGAATGTTTTTTTTTTTTTCACTACGAACTTTTGATTTTCAGTCCCTTAGAATTTGTGTTCTCAAGGTTTTAATATACACGTCCAGGCCATTTGAAGGAAGATGCATATTACCAACTTCTCGTCAGTGAAAAAGAAACAATCTTCAGACCTCACGCAGTATAGAAAAAAGGACACTTCATTCCATTGTCATATGGTGCTAGATCCATATTTTAAACAAACTGGCCATCAATGGGTGATGCGGTCAACATCATGTCTGATATGGCTTAAACTTGTTTTCACAAGAAAACAATCAATGCTTGAAAGCAAAATGCAGGCAGCATTGTGTTTTCATATTTAGGTATAAAGTATATATTTTTCGTAATGATGTGTATTGCCCCTGAATGGATCATTTCTCCCCCTCATAAATAATCAATCATAAAAGAAGAACCAGTGAGCCTCCTTGTTAAAGTGGCTAGATGCTCACCTGTGGGTTGTGGGTTCAGGTCCTGACTGGGGCTTTTTTTTTCAAAACAATTTAGTGCTTGATCCATATTTTAGACCAACTGGCCATTGATGTGTGATGCGGTCAACATCACGTCTGCTGCAGAACATTCCATGGTATTATTTTAGATCAACTGGCCATCGATGTGTGATGCGGTCAACATCACGTCTGCTGCAGAACATTCCATGGTATTATTTTAGACCAGTCATTTGATTGAAACCCAAGATTTTCAGGTTGACAGGCAAGCATGGCCACTGTACTCATTTAATAAACATAGGAAGGGGAGATACTATTTGCTTCAAGCAGGTCCAAAGAAAGAAGATTTGCCAGTCAACTTATACTGGGTATGGTGACATCTGTTAGTTGCTCTCCAGATTTCAGAGCCATATAAGACAACTGGTTTCATCAGTGTTTTATATACTGTGATCTTGGTGTTAAGAGACAGGGCATAAGATTTGAGCTGATGTTGTAGTACATTGTATACATTTTTTTCAGAACTTCGCAGAAATGGTGTGCATCGATGGGTGCTGTTATCAATTTAGAAAAGGTGGCTGTTTTATGGTGCTCTCTGGACAAAACAATTTTAAGAGCTTATATTCTAAGCCTCATAATTAATGACAGAAACATCAAAAGAGAAGCAAACTGAGGTATCTGAGTATCATTTTAGATAGAAGCCTGTCCTTCAGGGATCACATGGAGGTGGAAAGGACTCAATGCTCTCAAGATTATGGTAGCAATGGGCATGGAACAAAGAATGCTGTTCACAATGTTGCAGCATGTGATCCTGTCAGTGATAGATTAGGGACTAGGAATGCTTACCATATCAAATAGTCAGCTGATAAAACTTAAACACATACATAATGAAGCTATGCAGGTAATTCTGGGATGCACAAGAGAAACCTCAGTAGTGTTTATGTGATATATACTTGCACTACCTGTTACTGTAGACAGACTAAAAGTTCTGCAAGCAAAGTCATATCTCGGAATAGCTGCAGACACGAAGCCCTGGATACAACTATGGGTCACAAATTAAAAAGAGGAAGGTCTTGGATGACGCAAGCCGAAGACAAATTTAGACATATGTGCAGGCTTGATAAGTTTGGGCAAAGAGAGAAGTAGGTCAAAGTGAAATAGCAAGAATAAAACTTGTGTTGGGTTTTAATCAGTTTAGGTTGTGAGTACAGGGACTGGCCAGCTGGCGCTGAAGAATCAGAAGTTCAACAAATGATTCATGATACTAACCACCCAGGTGATGTGATTATCTACACAGATGGCTCTGTGTTGAAAGGTAGACGAAGTACATGAGGGATGATAGCAAAAGCGAATGGACGTCGCTGATGCATAACAAGCTAGTTGTTGTGGGAAGTTATCAGGGGATCTGGCTGATGCTCAACACTCAGGGGAAAGGCAAAACGGATGTACAATCAGATAGTCACTGGTAATATCGCAATTGGAAGTCTTCGCTTGCTGCCAAAGATGGAGACGGAGTTTCATGAGTGCTATGATGCTGATTCTTAATTCAAAATTCAATCCAGAATTGAATTTCTTCTCTCCATATGTGGGAGCAAGATAAGTTTGTACCTAAGTACTTGTATGTTTCAATTCATTTAGTTTCAAACTGTCTATTTACACAGCAGAAAAGCTGACAACAACTTGAAAAGGTTCCTGATATAATCTACAAATTACATTTTTCTTTAAAGGTGAAAGAGAATACTTGACAGTTGTGTATTTATTGGAAAGCTGTGCATTTAAACTAATAAATCTGATGCATTCAGGGACATGTCTTCTGAGCTATAATAAGGGCCTGCTTCTGCTAGAGTAAAGTTCTTTTAGACTTTCCTCCCAGCCTGACACCAAAGTGCCATCTGAAAAAGCTCCCAGACAACAGACATGTTGCCTAAAACTGGTCAGTACACAAGAAGAAAATATATTTACCTGTTGTATTTCGAGCTCCTGCTTTCCAGGGATCTGGAGTGATTACTTTACCAAGTTTCTTCTGACCTGCATTGTAATTCACAACTATATGATGTCACAAATAAAATATTTAAAAAAAAAAAACATTCTTTGTTGCCTCTGTCTGTGTGCTGAAGGTCTGCCACAGTGTACCACTGTTATCTCTGGGAAAATTATATGGGGTGAGGCAACAATTTATTTCATAATCTGGCACTACTACCCAATAACTATAAAAACATTTTTTGAATTTTTAAACAGCCTACCACAGGAATCAAACCCTAGTATTTGAAGGTCATGAAGCTGGCCAGGAAGGGCAGGGGGTGGGAAGTTGTGACATCAGCCTTACTCATTATAGGATTGTCTTTCTGTATTTCCATTGACTAATGCACAAAGTCTTTCATTGTCTATCTCATCTTATCTAAGGTCAAGTGGAAACTTGCTATGCATCAACAGTCATCACCCAATGGGAGTCAAAGAAAATTGTCATTTAAATAAAAAAAATGTCTGTATTCCCCCTCTGGAATTGAAATGTAAAGGTTTGACACCTAGTGTCTCAAATCAATGAGTTATTCAGATGCCAATATAACAGCAACAAATCCCCAGATACCCTGGTTTACCATTTAAACAGTTATAATAACTGTTATAATAGGACTCTCCGTGGTTACAAAATTAACCTGTTGTCCTTATATACGTGTGAGTATGGGATTTGTCTCAGATCCGGTGTGAATGAAGTCACAATGAGGATTAATATTAAAACATTTCAGTATCAGTATACCAATATTTTATATGAAAAATAAACATCTGTTTACAGTCTACTGTTGTCACAAAAGGGAGATTTTTAATCACTGGTGCTATTAGTGTGGGAACTCTTCCGACTGTTCCTCCGTTACTGATAAAGTGGACGGAGCCCGTAAGATGAGTATGTCCTGAGTGTAGTGATGTCAGTTCTTGATTAATAATCATCTTAAATTAATATTAAATATTATAAAATAAAAATTAGAATGAAAAAATCAGTCATTCTAAACTGCTTGAGGTGAAGGGTGTATGTAGGTTTTAAGTTAAAGCAATTAGTTATTATTAATGCTTGTCATCTGAAGATCTGTCATTCATTTCATTAACCACATTAATAATTATATATAATAATAATAGGCTCTCCTCCGAATAACGGTCCTAAATTATCTACGCAGAAAGTGAACCCTAACAGTCATATCTAAAATTCGCATTTCTTCTGTGGCGAATCAACAGCGTCAAAAGTAGGATTAATTGCGGATGACATTTTCGCGAAACGCAATGGATTTTTTTAACGACAATTAAACGGTGGCATAACTAGGATTAACTACGGAGGAAAAATTTGTGAAACGCAAGAATACACCCGATAGGGCTATCCCACGGCAGGGTCTCAGTTATATGTAAGTTGCGGACCATTATTTGCCGACTATAGTGCCACCTCCGAGAGTATCCCCCGCGCCGCTCGTAGCGGCGTTGAACTAGATGGCTGGGACTCACGAGCAGGAGCTACCACTTCTCTTGCAGCTTCCTCCATCGTATTTGCACGTGAGTCCTAGTGCGGGGGATACTCTCGGAGGTGGCACTATAGTCGCTGAAAAAAAGTCTTACAATTTACATGAGCTACTTCTTCCGCAAGTACCAGCGTTGTCGCATTCGCTACGGTCACTGGGTGGTCTGGCTAGTGGTGCACCATAGTGGCCCCTGCGAGATGCGCGTAGATTAGAATGCGTCATTGCTGATCACGTGTTGCCTGGAATGAGAATTGTGACTGACGCTTGGCGAGCCTACAGAAACGTTGGGAAATAAAAATATGGCATTTACAACCACGCTATATTTGGCGGAGTTCCAATGCCGGCACAGCAAGAAAGAACAGATTTTCGGGACACTATTTGCAACTTCTGTGCCATAATTTTCAGCTCTCCTCTGAACTTCTACCCCGACATTATGGCGGCCTGAAATATCTTTACAGGGCTCAGTCCAATTAAGAATATGCGAACTTCTGACAACAAATGAATCGCTGCAAAACTAGGATCGGCTCCGTATAGCGAAACAAATGCTCTAACAGGGTCTCAGTGATATCTTAATTGCGGACCTGTTTCTGTGACTATGCCTCACCGCCGACCGTATCCCCCGCGCTGCTACGTGCGGCGCGGATGGGGGTAAACTAGATGACTGGGACTCACGAGCAGCAGCTACTGCATCTCCTGCAACTTCCTCCAATTAATTTGCTTATGATTCATCTAACAAATCTGCAATTAAGATATCGCTGAGACCCTGTTAGAGCATTTGTTTTGCTAAACGGAGCCGAACCTAGTTTTGCCGCCATTCGTTCGTCGCCGGAAGTTTGCATATTTTTAATAGGACTGAGCCCAGTAAGGATATTTGTTCGGCCCGGCTGGTGGGGCCATAATGTCGGGGTAGAAGTTCGGAGGAGAGCCCAATTTTCCCATATAAAGGATTTAATTATCGGTAAGTAGTAGGGCTGTACCGAATATTTGCTTCGTATTCGCTTCGGGGCCGAATAGTGGACCTAATAGCTGCATACACTGCGATGGACTGAAATAACTCTTATTAATAATGTCACAATTTATAGCCGACTCTTCTTGATTTTCGCCGCGGCACCCCTGGTATACGCACCCAGTTTTAGAACCTCTGCTGTAATGCCTAGGAGTCAGCAGGCGCTGTTACCACTCAACCGGGTTGCAGTTTTTCCCGCTACGACAGATTTAGGCAACGCTACTGTTGTGTTAAAGAAGGCATGAAGAAACTTGAAAGTGTATCTGTGTGTGTGTGTGTGTGTGTGTGAGAGAGAGAGAGAGAGAGAAAGATAGAGCATGCCTTTTTTGTTCTTTCGGGGTGTCTTTTCCCAAATCAAATTGAAGATATTGCGAACGAGAATATGGAGGTGCATTTAAATTACATTTGTGCATTTAAAAACGCCTGAACGAATGATGATTTAAATGCGAATTTGGCACATGGATAAAATCAGATGAAAGATGCATTACTAAAATTAAAAACAAAATAGGACAGGCAAAAACTGCATTTTATTAAAAAAAAAAAAGAACATCTTATGCAATATATCTTTGTCTTGCTTGCTACATACATCCAGTTTTAACATATGGCTATGAGTCCTGGATAATCGGTAGCCATGCCAAACAATTTTTTGAGGCCTCAGAGATGTGGTTTTACAGAACAATGTTTAAAATACCTTGGACAGCCTAAAAAAAGCAACCACTAGGTTTTGAAAGAGACGGGAGCCAGAAGACAACTAATCGCAGATATCAGAAGGAGACAGTCATCATTTTTCGGCCATCTTATAAGATGAGTGAAAATGGAACATGTGGTGACCACTGGAAAGATTTGTGGAAGGAGAGATAGAAAAAGACAACGAGAGAAGATTCTTGACAGTCTTGTTGCATGTCATGGAGGTGTGTCAGCACACGAACTGATACATGCTGCAGGAGATCGCAGATTGTGGCGAGGCAAAATCGCCAACACCAGTCGGCAAGGCACCTGATGATGATGATACACTATTCTTATTCGGCCGAATAGTTGGTCCCACTATTCGTATTCGGCCAAATAGTGAAAATCACTATTCGGTACAGCCCTAGTATAGCGACTATGTTGTTCAGGAATTTGCGGTCTTTTGGCAATTTCCGTTACCATGGAAACCGTTCAAAACTTGTTTCGGAAATGTTGGCTGGGGTTTCGGAATGGGTCCCAATCTCTCATGAAATTTTGCGATTGGTGTGATTTTCACCCACTATAAATGGCTGAAAACCGCGGGAACGAACCCGATTAACAGCGCATGTCTACGACAGCCGGATGCCCTCTGTTTTTCTGTTACATCAGTTTGATTAAAAATAGCGTTAAGTATTTGAGGTTGCCTTTAGGCTTTAACATTACTCGTACTGGTAATGCTAGTTATAATTGAATTCTCTGTCCAATTTTACATTTGTAAATAAAATTTCTTTCTTATCAGTGGCTTTTTAGATTTACAGTGACATTTTTTAGGCAATAGGTATGTGGCTGTGTCTCCATTGTCTGCCATCTTGTCCAAAGACAGTCCAATGTCAACAAAGCCAAAACGATAAGTGCACAGTTTGGTGCTCAGAGAAAACTTCTTGTTTCTGGGTCACAAGTTTTAGCAGCTGCTTTGCTTTCTACATCTCATCTCCACAAAAACCTACATATCTCAGCTCAGAAATGACACACGCGCCTAAATGAGGTACCGTTGGAAAGAGATTGTTTACAGCTATCTAACTGCTGCTTTTATTGGTGTAGAGGGCATTTTAAAAATTTGACTCAAATACCTAACTGGTAAGTAGTAGTAGACTTGCCCGTTTTCCTCATACTTTTCCTTTCTTATATTTTCCGAGTTACAACTTTTAAATCTTTGTAATATTATTTATATGGACATTAAAAATAATTAAAATATTATTTATCCATAGTGTTTATAAACTATAAATAAACACGGCAGATTCTTATTCTAGACTTCAGCGGCTTCTGATGATGAATTTTGATGGAGGCGAGTGATATCAATCAGATATCTGCAGCAATGAACCAAGGGCTCTAAATCATAAAAATGCTGAAGAAGACGATTCTAGACTTATAAATGCTTTTTAAGAAGTCATTACAATTAATTAACTTATTATAAAAAGCTATCAGAAAAAAAAACCTGATACAAAATAAACTTACACTTGTCGCAAACCATGATTGGCACAGCTAGTAGTACGTTTCTTGCACAAAAACAAACCCAGTGAAGGTAAACAACAGTGTTAACTTCCGCTTCCTGTGGAAATATAAAAGTGTGACTGGACAGAAGACTGGAGTGTCACACATGAGGATTACATAATAGACTCAGATATGAAATGTTGATATCTGCGCTCATGGAGAAGGAAGTGTGACACTGGCTGGTGAACTGGATAGCAGCTGTCCTGTATTCACGTATGGTTGCCCTTTGCCTGTGTTCATGGACCTCAGAATCAAATAATATCTCGCCGGGACTACCCTAAGGTTCTGCAATGTCACCCGTGCTTTTCAATGTGCATACAAGCAAGATTGCAGAGCTTGAAGCACCAGGTGTTGGAAGGATATCTCCATTTGCAGATGATGTTCTTTCATGTAGGCAGTGAAGTGATAGACAACACATATCCAGACGGCTCAGGCAACTGTAGACAAAGTAACTGGTGTGCAGAGATGGGTGCTGTCATCGACTCGGAAAAGGCAGCTGTTTTATCGTGCTCTCTGGACAGTATAATTGTAAGAGCTAATGCTCCAAGCCTCACAGTTAATAACAGAAACATTAAAAGAGAAAGCAAACAGAAGTACGTGGGTATCATTTTCGATAGAAGCCTATACTTTTAGGATCATATGCAGGCAGTTCCGGTAAAATGCCAGAAAAGACTTTACTGCTCTCATGATTATGTCAGCAGTGGAAATGAAACAAAGAATGTTGTTCACAATGTTACAGCATGTGATCCTGTCAGGGATAGATTATGGACTTGAAATGCTATATCAAAGAGTCAGCTGATGGAACTTGAACGCATACAGAATGAAGCCATGCGGCTAATTCTGGGATATACAAGAGACACTCCGGTAGTATGTTTTCGTTTTATACTTGCTCTGCCTACTATGGCAGATAGGTTCAAAGTTCTGCAAGCAAAGTCACATCTCTCAGTAGCTGCAGACAAGAAGCACCTTCTGCAGGAAGCCCTAGGTAGAGCTACAGGTCACAGACTGAAAAGAGGGTCTTGGATGGCGCAAGTTGAAAACACAATTAGACATGTATGTGGGCGAGGAGAGTAGTGGGTCAACGTGTCCCAGCAAGAATGAGACTTATGCAGGGTTCTAATCCCTTTAGGTCGTGAGTGCAAGGTTTGGCCAGCTGGTGCTGCAGAATCAGCAGTTTAACAAATGATTCATTGTAATTCCCGCCCAGATGATGCTCTGTGTTGAGAGTAAGGCGAAGTGCAGGGGGTTGATAGCAAAAGCGAAAGGACGTCGCTTAGTGCAACTAAGCCTGGCATATGATATCACAACATCTAGTTTGAGAATGAAGATGGGGGCAGTCACTGCTGACTTCCGCTGAAATTGAGAATCAACTGTACACAACTGTTGTAATTGTAACTGTCTCATAGAGTATGTTCAAAAAAGTGGAGACAGGCATGACCCGTGCAAGTGGCAAGCATCGCTTCAGAGGATACGGATAGTTAGCGTCCTTTGAAAAATTATTCCAGGGTATGGTGGTGTGTCGGGAAAAGAGCAGGCAGACAGATTGGTAGGTTCTGCACCATTCGGTGGTGAACTGATGTACGACAAGCTAGATTTTGTGAGAGGCACAAACATATCACTTAGGTCTGAGGAGAATGGCGCTGCGGGGAGTTATCAGGAGATCTGACCGATGCTCAACACTCATAAAGGCGAGATGGATGTACAATCAGACAGTTACTGGTGCCATCGGAACTGGAACTTTTATCTTGCTTATTGGAGTGTCCCGGATGCAAAGATGTCGATTCTTAATTCAACATTTAACATTCAAAATCAGTGAGTCTTAGTAGCCTTTGTGTTCTGGCCCTCCGTATATGGTGGGATTGCCAGCTTCTTTCCTTGGTGCTATTCCTGCCCAACAATTTCCAGGGTATAAGAAATCGAATTTCTCCCGTTACACACTGATTATGAATTCACATATGCAGTGTCTGTCTGTGATTATGCCCGCCAGTTCCCTAAGTAATATCAAAAGTCATGTTCATTTGACAATCTCTGGGTCAGTCTTTCACAGAGCCACTCTAAATGGGAGTTAGACTATTTTAGGAATGTTAGCCACTTCAAATGACCAGTAGTATATTCTTTGTTTCTTTTTTCCAGTTACGTCATCGTAGAGATGGGACTGGTGATGTGGGGGAACTATGGGAGGATTATATGTGCGTTCTTATAATGCGCTGTGTAAGTCGAATTTAATTTCAGTAAGGCTGTTCTTTTTGTAGTCGTTCCATCAGTGTTATGATCTCCCCTCTGATCTCAATGTTCAGTATATTTATTTATTGTGGCACCCTATCCCTTTCGCTGCTATGGACGTCTTTTCCCGATTTCCCGTACGCTGCTACGCCCGTCTTTGGACGTTATTTTTTTTCTTGACCCCCAGTGCTATGGACGTCCTAAGCCGTTTTTGGACTTTTCTTACAGATTTCTGTTAGCTCGTATTTTATTGACTGAAGGGCAATATACATTAGCTATCTTTAGATAAAACTGACCCATTTACATATGATTAAAAGCACTTGCACGTACTTTTAGGCGTGTTTAAGGTGTGTTTACTGCATTTTGCGTTATCCCGTTGCTTTGTTTACCGTGACAGCGTGGTCGGTGATCTGTGTATTTTGTGCCCTGATATATATTTGTGCTTTTAGATTATTCTACACTTAGTACAAAATGGCAAGAAAACTTGTTAAAGTTGATGAAGAATTGATGGAGTTTCTGTCAAAAGTGATAGCGACGATGACTTTGAAATGTGTACTTCTGACAGTGAACAAGAAGATTTGACTAGGCCATCAGTATCGACTGCTGAAACCGGCGTGTCCAAAAAAAGCTGTTTGCCTGTCCGACGTCCTCATGTCGGAATCAGAGAGCAGCGACAATGACGCGCCATCAAAACGGCAATAAATTGATCAGTTATCTTGATGAACCGATGATTTGAAACCAGTAGTGCATGATTTTGATGACTCCAGCTCTATCTATATTTCTGCTACTGTAAATTCAAACAGTTGAGTCACTAAAATTTCTCGTCTTTCCCGATGGACAGACACAGATTCGGACGAACTAATTTTTTTTTCTGTCTGTCTGCTAATGCTTAGAACAAAGAAACTCAAAATAGAGTACTTGAGCAAAGACTGTTTGCTAAAAACTCCCGTAAAATAATGTCGAGGGACATATTTTAACTATTGTTGAGAATCTCAAACATTTCTTAGACAACAGTGCTCATGTAGGCGGCGATAGACTACAAACTTAGACACATTATTGATAGTCTGCGCACATCATTCATTATGATCATTTACACAGCGCACTGCACCAGGCGGTTGCATAGTGTAATTGGTGTCACGTTCGCCTTAGAATCGGAGGGTCGTGTGTTCAACCCCCGAAGTTTTTTTTTTTTTTTTTTTTTTTAAATTAATTGTAAATTTTCCTTTGAGTTCCTGTTACTTTTCAGCAACGGACGACTCGAGTATTATTATGATTATTTTTTTTAAATTATTATTTTGGTATGTAATAACATGGTGACTATAAATAAATATGATTAAAGTGGCAGCCGTGGTAGGTTCGTCAATCAAATTTTGGGATACAGACTGGGAAAAGTTCCTCCCATTAATTCCCCCCACCCCCCCCCCCACCCCGAAGGGTGATAGCTCCGTTAGTCAAGTTTGTGGGGCACCATCGTGCCTCTGACTTGTCACCACTCGAACCAATCCCACAACTCCCCAGGGTAAAATTGTTTAGGTGTACAAAACATAGCCCTCACCGCGGACGCATCTTTTGCGTTTAGAGGATAGAAAAGTATTGCGCACAGCAGAGACTTTTTTTTTTTCACATTGCTTAGCACAGGGAGGACAACTATTTCCGGGAACGTAGCAGCGAAAGGGCTATAGAAAGATTCTCAGAAATCTTGGACAAGGCAAAGGAGAAATACTGATATTTTGAAACATCTAAACATCAAGGAAGATTGACTAATAAACAGCATCCTGTCCCGGAAGCTGAAATATTTTGGTGATATCAAGCGCCACGACGAATTGGACACAATTCTAGCAGAAGGCATGGTACCAGGAAGGAGGGGCAGGGGCCGACCGACACGAAGATGGGCACAGGATATAAGTGACTCCTAGAGTATAAAAGTACATGAGGCGAGAGAACTAGCTGGAGACCGAGTTTTTTTTCCCAGTCAGACTGTGATGAGAGCGACGCTCTGCAAAGGACCTGCTACATGATGATGAAAGTGACCCTGTGGTAGATGACACCGGAACATTTTTGAGTAGTTGGCCAAACCATCTCATCTGTTGCTCTTTAGGGAATTGCGCGACTGGTTTCAGTGCCCGTCTTCTTTTAATTTCTTCATGTTTTATTGTATCTATTCCGGTAACTCAAGCGGTTCTTGTTTAGTAAACTTCGAGAAAATAGATGGCTACAGTCTGTCAGGGATTGATGCACCCGATAAGTAAATTTTGTTTTTGTTTTTGTTGTTGCAATATATTGTTTCTAGCCTTCTTAAACAAATTCATCATTGACATAGTTTTGTATAACAAAATACGTTGTCAACGCAATTTAGGAAATACAAGATGCAATAGTAATATTAAGACATTTGTAAAACAAGAAATATGGGAGTTTCTTGACAATTTATATTGCCCTTTTCTCCCAATCATATTTATTTTCAATTTAATTGTATGTGCTATTTCAGGCAGGCAACAAGGGCTTAAGTTAAAACATAAGCGCAAAATATTGATTATAATTATACTAATTCTGATTTCCGGTCAAAATGGACGCTAGGGAGGGGCACTGTTTGGAGCCAAGGCACATTTTTTGCTTCTGCCGGACGGTGGCAGGTGCATTTTTGCTCCATTTGTAAACTGGATATAGTTTCGTCGCCCAGCTTCTGAGTTAAATACATGGCGTGAAACTGTGAGCTACGGATTTCATTTGGAATGTTTTTTTCGACTGTGACCAACTGGT